ATATATATATAAAGAGGAGCTGCTTTGCTTTGGCTCTGAGTTTAGCAGATGGTAAATGTCTCCTGGAGCTTCTCCTTAAAGGATGCTAACTCTGGAATGGCTTTTCCCATTTTTGACCAGTTAACAATTTCATAGGCCTCAAGTAACAGTTTGACATACCAAACCACATAGCATAACAATAGGGTGCTACCTGCACGTATCTGTTCTCTGTATGCGCCAAATATGCTATCCAGGGTGTATACCATATGCAATATGAATATATGGTGGTAGCCTTTTACAATATACGCTCCTGCTCTCACCCCAATCCTCCGCTGAAATCCTTGGTCTAAAGGACTACCTGGTTCCCTTGTGACTTGGGCACTTTGTCAAAAACTCATCCTGGATTCCTGTAGAAATGTCTTGTCCCAACCAGGAAACGAGTATGTTGTTCTCATGGCCTCCCATCATGTTTTTTGGCTAGAGGGAGGCTCTGAAGAGTTTCCCAGAGCACGGTGGGAACCTCAGTTTGATCTCAGCATTGAAATGGTCTACATGGTTGTATAGTTATCCCCAGGCCTAGGTTCGCCAAATGGGATGAAGAGCCTAAGCACTGCTGCTGAGTAGTTTGACGTTACTGTCTGCTAACGACAGGGAGGGTAGCAGCAGGTAGAGTCAGGGCGTGGAACCACACTCCTAGGTAGACGAGGCATGGCCTGGCTGTGCCAGGAAAGCCAGAGGGACAGCTGGGGCCTGACTGAGCAGAGGCCCAAACCAGCAATTTGTGGGCAGAGCTCAGCATCTCCTGCGACAGAAACACTCCCTTTTCAGAGGCCTTGGGAACCAGCCTTTCTGTGTGACACGTGGGGCAACCAATGAAGGAAGGTGGCACGTCTTTCCCCCTTGTGTCGGGGTTGAACTACCTCCCTGGCCACCTGGACATAAGTGGTGTTTACTGGGAAGCGAAACCACAAGGTTGAGCTGACTTGGAACACCCTTGTTCCTGGCACGCTCTCTCCAGGGTTCTCTTGAGCACTCACGTGGGACAAAGAGCTGGCAGGAACGTGGGACAAAGAGCTGGCGAGAACGTGGCACGCGAGAAGGAAGCTTTCTGTAGCCAAGGCCTAGAGCACTGCTCTGCAGAGGGAGCCAGGTCCCAGTTTTGCATTGTGCCCCTCTGCTCGTTCCAGCTGGTTGACATTTGGGGCAGTGCAAGCATAGGCACAGCCAGGCAGGGCGAGGTGGGGAGAACAAGGGCAGAAAAAAGGAGCAAAGAGGGGCCTGGAGAGAGGGAAGGCCATTATCGAAAATCTGTGCTCTCAACCCGTTGCTGGACCTCGCCGGGTAGGGGCAACTATTTTGGGAAGGCCTTTTATGCGCTTATTCCATGGCCCAAGGCGGACAGACCCGCTCTTTCTTGAATTGTGCTCTGAAGCAAATAATGTGGGGCTCTACCAGGCTGCTTCTGTGCTTGCAGGCCTTCCACACCGTACTGACAGGTGCCCCTTGTGTGACTCAGACTCAGTGCCATCACAGCTGCCAGTGATGGCACGGGTCCAACACCTGGTTTATTCCAGGGACGGGCTGAAACCACGCACAACCCGTTCTAAATCTCACCTTAAGTCCCCATCCTGTCCTCTAACAATCCCTCCCTGCTGTCCTGAGGCTATGAGACTACTGAGAAGGAATGGGGGCAGGGATTCTGCAAGCCAACCTGTAACGCTCCTGGCCATCGGTGTCTTCCAGCTCCCCCTTTCCAGGAGGAGATGGGGGTGCCCTTCATTTGGGTCAACCGGTTGACAGTCATGGCCACAAGTGAGTCAGGGCTGGAGTGAGAGATGTACAATCATGTGCAGGCTTGAAGAGGCAAGCAGAAATGACAGGAAGCAAGGAAGTGCCCCTTCTGCCCTAGAAAGGGAAGGAAGCTTTCGACCGAGGACTGCAGAGCAGTACTGAGGGTTGCAGAAGGAGAGGAGGGGGCAGGTGAGGAAGACGGGTGGGCAGCAACGGGCTGGAGGGGAGGGCGTGGGGGAGCAGGGCCTTTCTACTCCCTTTCAAAGTGTCACTCACCCCCTAACAGGTGAAGAAGGAAGGCTTCCTTTCAGAGACACCCAAGGTTAGTGAACGCCCATGCGGGGTCGGGGTGCCGAGCCCCCGAGCTCCCCAGGGCCACCACTTCTCCGTTCGCTGCCACGTCCTCTAACCAGGGCCCTGAAGTCAAACGTTCACCCTTCCGCCAGCTACAATCACAGGGGAAGCTCCAATAGCCTAGTCACACTGAAAGGCCCGTTGCTGGCAAGCCGCCCCCGTGTGCCAGGACCTTAGAAAAGGCAAGGAGACCAACCTCAAGAGGAGCCACCCTGAGCCCCAAGGCTGCCTTCTGACCTGCTCTGTGGGCTTGCAGGCTTGCTCCAGGCGGCGGGCTATAGTCACTGTGAGTCCATCCCTTGAGGGAGGGACGGGAAGAGCGTGCATTTGTTTTCTCTTCATCTTCAGGACTTATTTTAGCACCCAGGCATACCCCAGAGAGAGAGAGACGGGATGGCCTGACTCAGCTGAATCAGATGAGCCCGTTTGGAGCAGAGAGGTTCCTGTTCCTCAGGCATCCATTCAGCGCTAGTCTAGGCCACCAGACTTTTTTTTTTTTTTTTTTTAAGAATCAGCTCATAAGGCATTTGCAACTTCTACTTCTCTCTAGACTTTTTTTGTTTTGTCACTGCGATGTGTCCTGGGACAAAGCCATAAGAAGAACATACATACTTAAGACTCTGCTGTACATACAGGAAGACGAAGACTCGTCTGGGTTCAAGTACGACCTTACTACGCCCAAGCATTTGCTCTGGTGCTGAATAACGCGAACTACTGGAATCAGCCCTCCACCCCTGGCCCCTCGCCCCTCCCCACCCACCCCCGCACCCCAACAGAACACAGCATTCCCAACTTGTTTATAAATAAAGGAATGCATAATTGCACTTTGGCTTGTCGTGTTTCCTAAAAGTGTGCTACGGTGTTCCCGTTCATGAACTCCCGCCCGCGGTGCAAAAGTACAGGGGTGGCGGCCGTCCTGCCCGCGCGCAGCAAGGATGCGCCCCCCGCGCCGGGTCACGCGGGGCACCGTCCTGCAGATGCAGGCAAAGCTCGTGAGGAACAGACCCACGTGGAGGGGAGGTCACACTGGGGGGCCCAGTCGGGACCTGGAGTTGGAGGCTCTGTGACCTCGGCCAAACCGCTTCACTTCCGTGGCCTCAGGGTCTGCTTTTGTCAATTGAGGGGGTTGATGGAATTGGCTGCCCAGGTCTTCGCTGGAAAGGTCTCTGAATTTATGACGCAACCCGCGTCGTCCCTACACTTCTCCAGCTAGGAGGCTGCCACTACGCGACCACGAGAAAGAGCTTACCTCTCCCTGGGCAGAAAGCTGGAGAGGGGGCCCGCAGGCCCCTGGGACCTCCACTCCCGCCGGCTTGCGCGGCCGCGCCCCCGCCTCAGCCTCCACAGGCGCGGGGGCTCCACCCACCTTCCTGATGAAGCCACCTGACGGCTGCTTCGCACCTGTACCGGAACGAGGGGCGGGGCCCTTCCCGCCGCTTGAACGTCTTGGGTGGGGGGGGGGGGGGGGGAAGCGCCTTTGACGGGAGGGAAGCCGATCGATGGGGGTGGAGGCGCCAAATCACGATCCCAAATGCCAGCAGTGAGGGCCCAGGTTCCCGCGCCAGGAAGTGCGAGCGGCCCTCCACCGGCCCAGTTGGGGAGTTTCCATTAACTCCACCTGGCGAGCTTTAGCCGCGAAACGACAACAGTTCTAACATTAGCCTGGACTCGAGAAGAAACGGCCAGGCCTGTATCCAGCCGGGGAAGCCATTTAAAAACACAATACCTATTATTCATAGACCATATTACTTGGCTTTGCCACCCAGATCAAACACATTCTTGACAGGTCGTAATTACGGTAACAGCTACAGGTTTCTTCTGGACTTCGTGATACCTCGGAAATGTTCTCAACGGAAAAATCCGTTCTAAAGCATAATAAAATTCATATTGAAGAACTCTAATATTTGCCCTGAAGAGAATTAGCTTTTGTTAATAAACAGAACCCCTGGGATAAAAGAAGTAACACTATCAAAAATGTTTACACACAAACACATACACGGTCCTCTGGTACTGGAGTCCTCATTGGATATTGGAGTTGAACGTTTAAGCAACTTCTTCAGGTATTCCGCCGTTAGACAGAAAGACTCCCACCGAGATGCCATTCGGATAAAGCATGACAGTTCATCAGCCCCGAAATACATACCCAGTGATCGAATCCTTTAAGAAATCATCAAGTAAAAACCAATAAACCACCAGTAAAACCTGAAAATATCATTAAGAGCATAAATACCTGTCAGTGCTAATTGATCTTTGTTAGGCCCAGCTGCACTGCCCTAACTTACATTCTAAAAAAAAACCAAAAAAAACCTTATTAGCTGATTCTCAGCCGCTGCTGACCGAATGTGGGAAACTTGAGGCGAAAGCCTTAGTGCAGGGTTGACTTGTCTCCCACAAGCAATTTTTGCTCTCCTTACCTTCATTCTCTCTCTTGGGGGGCAGGGAAAGGAATTGATGTGCCAGGTTACTGTACTTGTATTCACAAAAG